TTCATCTCCCAGTCCAACCCCAACTCCACTCCTGTGTAGACTAGACTAGAGCATCCGCACCAATGGAACTTCTTTGCTAATGCCCTATCTTGTCCACTGGGGGGCGCTATAGCTAGAACTGTGGTTATCTCACTCCACTCACTGGGGGAAACCCCTGCTGGGAATACCTTACACCCTCAGTAGACCTCCGATGGTATAGAATACTGTATGTCATCATGTTTTGTCAGTCAGCATTCTCCTAATACCCCAGGGGTCACATGGCTATAGCACAGCTGAGACCCAGTGTCACTCTACTGCACAGGAAGTGATCTGCACCATGTCCCACTAGCCTGTTTGTGTGAAAGAGTTGTAGGCTGCAAGCAGATTGAAAGCCTGAGGGTGAAAGATAAACTTTGCAGGCATCTGTTCACAATCCTGCCTCTGGAGTGATTCCAGACTCCAGAGCTTGCCTGTGTAGAGAATAATTCATTCAGAACGCAATATGGCAAAACTAATTTGATCTGTACGATAACTGAATGCATATTGCGTTCATGTTTACCCCTGAAAGACTCTCTTGCTAGTAGTGAGGAAAAAAAAGTGTCCTGGCTGTTATGACTCAACAATGCAGCAAACCCCTCCCTCGTCAGAGACACTCTACCTCATGGGAAGAATAACTACCACAACAATTAGCAAACAAAACAAGTCATTAAGTATTAATGTATTACGTCTTAGTCATGGTTATGGTGAGGTGCCTTATGTTTCCCTATGTTACCGTTAGCCTAGCATGCTAGTTAGCGAGGGGAAGGGATGGGAACCCAGTGGAGCAGAAGTGCTGCAGTGACTCCCAGTACATGCCAAACGGCATCCTCCCGCTGTATTAGTCATGGAGCCAGTCATCTGCAACCTGTGGTGAAACTGTACGACACCCACACTCTGGTTCTGTACTTGGAGAGAACCACGACGGCTACCTTCCTGTTGCTGTTCCATCACAGGAACAGCTCTCCAGTGCATTGGGGGAACAGCTCTCCAGTGCATTGGGGGAACGGCTCTAAGTGCTGCTTTATTGTCTCTCGCCTCTGCTCTAACATTATTACGTCAGTCTTGTTGTGTGTGTTTGGTTGATTCATGTAAAATATGACTCTCAAGAGAGAAACTTTATTGGGCACTACAAAGAGATGCTCCGTTTAGAATTCCAGTATTCAAAGGCCAGAGAGACAACTGGGGCAAATTGGTCCAGCCTTACTGGGTAATCACTTCCTCTAAATCCCTTCCTCCTCCATTGCTCCATCCCTCCATTCCTTCTATACTCAGAACGAGCACAGCTTTACTGAGCAACTTGGCGGCACGGGGCTCTAGAATTTAACTAGCTACCTCATCATTTCAAACAGTCCAGGGAAAGAAACAATCCTGTATCAATCAAGATATGATTGACCTTAATGGATGGCTATACTGTACTTTATAAACTGGGTGATTCGAGCCCTGAATGCTGATTGGCTGACAGCCGTGGTATATCAGACCAATATACCACGGGTATGACAAAATATACATTTTTACTGCTCTAATTACGTTGGTAACCAGTTTATAATAGCAATAAGGAACCTCTGGGTTTGTGATTTATGGCCAATATACCACGGCTAAGGGCTGTATCCAGGCACTCCGCATTGCGTCGTGGTATATTGGCCATATACCACACCCCCTCGGGCTTTATTGCTTAAATCAAACTCCACCTCTGATTTACTGCATGATGTTGTTCTAGAAATGTAGAAAGATATTTTGTGTTTCCTGTTGCTATAATAGCATCATAGCTGTGTTTATGTTTGTGTGTTGTACTGTGTGTTGTACTGTGTTGTACTGTGTGTTGTACTGTGTTGTACTGTGTGTTGTACCTGTGTTGTACTGTGTGTTGTACTGTGTTGTACTCTGTGTTGTACTGTGTGTTGTACTGTGTTGTACTCTGTGTTGTACTGTGTTGTAATGTGTGTTGTACTGTGTGTTGTACTGTGTGTTGTACTGTGTGTTGTACTGTGTTGTACTGTGTGTTGTACTGTGTTGTACTCTGTGTTGTACTGTGTTGTACTGTGTGTTGTACTGTGTGTTGTACTGTGTGTTGTACTGTGTTGTACTGTGTTGTACTGTGTTGTAATGTGTGTTGTACTGTGTGTTGTACTGTGTGTTGTACTGTGTTGTACTGTGTGTTGTACTGTGTTGTACTGTGTTGTACTCTGTGTTGTACTGTGTTGTACTGTGTGTTGTACTGTGTGTTGTACTGTGTTGTACTGTGTTGTACTGTGTTGTACTGTGTGTTGTACTGTGTGTTGTACTGTGTGTTGTACTGTGTTGTACTGTGTTGTACTGTGTGTTGTACCTGTGTTGTACTTGTGTTGTACTGTGTTGTACTGTGTTGTACTGTGCCTGTTTCTGTGCGCTTTACCAATATCTGTGTTTATGTTTATATTTCTTGCATTCAATCACCCACTCACTATGAAGTAAACACATCTTTCTCCTCCTCCTAAAATCCCATTCAGTACTCCAGCATGTCCCTAGGGTAACACTGAGTCAGTACTCCAGCATGTCCCTAGGGTAACACTGAGTCAGTACTCCAGCATGTCCCTAGGGTAACACTGAGTCAGTACTCCAACATGTCCCTAGGGTAACACTGAGTCAGTACTCCAGCATGTCCCTAGGGTAACACTGAGTCAGTACTCCAACATGTCCCTAGGGTAACACTGAGTCAGTACTCCAACATGTCCCTAGGGTAACACTGAGTCAGTACTCCAGCATGTCCCTAGGGTAACACTGAGTCAGTACTCCAACATGTCCTAGGGTAACACTGAGTCAGTACTCCAGCATGTCCCTAGGGTAACACTGAGTCAGTACTCCAACATGTCCCTAGGGTAACACTGAGTCAGTACTCCAACATGTCCCTAGGGTAACACTGAGTCAGTATCACGTCCTAGGGTAACAGAGTCAGTACAGCATGTCCCTAGGGTAACACTGAGTCAGTACTCCAACATGTCCCTAGGGTAACACTGAGTCAGTACTCCAACATGTCCCTAGGGTAACACTGAGTCAGTACTCCACATGTCCCTAGGGTAACACTGAGTCAGTACTCCAGCATGTCCCTAGGGTAACACTGAGTCAGTACTCCAACATGTCCCTAGGGTAACACTGAGTCAGTACTCCAACATGTCCCTAGGGTAACACTGAGTCAGTACTCCAACATGTCCCTAGGGTAACACTGAGTCAGTACTCCACATGTCCCTAGGGTAACACTGAGTCAGTACTCCAACATGTCCCTAGGGTAACACTGAGTCAGTACTCCAACATGTCCCTAGGGTAACACTGAGTCAGTACTCCAACATGTCCCTAGGGTAACACTGAGTCAGTACTCCAACATGTCCCTAGGGTAACACTGAGTCAGTACTCCAACATGTCCCTAGGGTAACACTGAGTCAGTACTCCAACATGTCCCTAGGGTAACACTGAGTCAGTACTCCAACATGTCCTAGGGTAACACTGAGTCAGTACTCCAACATGTCCCTAGGGTAACACTGAGTCAGTACTCCACATGTCCCTAGGGTAACACTGAGTCAGTACTCCAACATGTCCCTAGGGTAACACTGAGTCAGTACTCCACATGTCCCTAGGGTAACACTGAGTCAGTACTCCAACATGTCCCTAGGGTAACACTGAGTCAGTACTCCACATGTCCCCTAGGGTAACACTGAGTCAGTACTCCAACATGTCCCTAGGGTAACACTGAGTCAGTACTCCAACATGTCCCTAGGGTAACACTGAGTCAGTACTCCACATGTCCCTAGGGTAACACTGAGTCAGTACTCCAACATGTCCCTAGGGTAACACTGAGTCAGTACTCCAACATGTCCCTAGGGTAAACACTGAGTCAGTACTCCAACATGTCCCTAGGGTAACACTGAGTCAGTACTCCAGCATGTCCCTAGGGTAACACTGAGTCAGTACTCCAACATGTCCCTAGGGTAACACTGAGTCAGTACTCCAACATGTCCCTAGGGTAACACTGAGTCAGTACTCCAAACATGGTCCCTAGGGTAACACTGAGTCAGTACTCCAACATGTCCCTAGGGTAACACTGAGTCAGTACTCCAACATGTCCCTAGGGTAACACTGAGTCAGTACTCCAACATGTCCCTAGGGTAACACTGAGTCAGTACTCCAACATGTCCCTAGGGTAACCACTGAGTCAGTACTCCAACATGTCCCTAGGGTAACACTGAGTCAGTACTCCAACATGTCCCTAGGGTAACACTGAGTCAGTACTCCAACATGTCCCTAGGGTAACACTGAGTCAGTACTCCAACATGTCCCTAGGGTAACACTGAGTCAGTACTCCAACATGTCCCTAGGGTAACACTGAGTCAGTACTCCAACATGTCCCTAGGGTAACACTGAGTCAGTACTCCAACATGTCCCTAGGGTAACACTGAGTCAGTACTCCAACATGTCCCTAGGGTAACACTGAGTCAGTACTCCAACATGTCCCTAGGGTAACACTGAGTCAGTACTCCAACATGTCCCTAGGGTAACACTGAGTCAGTACTCCAACATGTCCCTAGGGTAACACTGAGTCAGTACTCCAACATGTCCCTAGGGTAACACTGAGTCAGTACTCCAACATGTCCCTAGGGTAACACTGAGTCAGTACTCCAACATGTCCCTAGGGTAACACTGAGTCAGTACTCCAACATGTCCCTAGGGTAACACTGAGTCAGTACTCCAACATGTCCCTAGGGTAACACTGAGTCAGTACTCCAACATGTCCCTAGGGTAACACTGAGTCAGTACTCCAACATGTCCCTAGGGTAACACTGAGTCAGTACTCCAACATGTCCCTAGGGTAACACTGAGTCAGTACTCCAACATGTCCCTAGGGTAACACTGAGTCAGTACTCCAACATGTCCCTAGGGTAACACTGAGTCAGTACTCCAACATGTCCCTAGGGTAACACTGAGTCAGTACTCCAACATGTCCCTAGGGTAACACTGAGTCAGTACTCCAACATGTCCTAGGGTAACACTGAGTCAGTACTCCAACATGTCCCTAGGGTAACACTGAGTCAGTACTCCAACATGTCCCTAGGGTAACACTGAGTCAGTACTCCAACATGTCCCTAGGGTAACACTGAGTCAGTACTCCAACATGTCCTAGGGTAACACTGAGTCAGTACTCCAACATGTCCCTAGGGTAACACTGAGTCAGTACTCCAACATGTCCCTAGGGTAACACTGAGTCAGTACTCCAACATGTCCCTAGGGTAACACTGAGTCAGTACTCCAACATGTCCCTAGGGTAACACTGAGTCAGTACTCCAACATGTCCCTAGGGTAACACTGAGTCAGTACTCCAACATGTCCCTAGGGTAACACTGAGTCAGTACTCCAACATGTCCCTAGGGTAACACTGAGTCAGTACTCCAACATGTCCCTAGGGTAACACTGAGTCAGTACTCCAACATGTCCCTAGGGTAACACTGAGTCAGTACTCCAACATGTCCCTAGGGTAACACTGAGTCAGTACTCCAACATGTCCCTAGGGTAACACTGAGTCAGTACTCCAACATGTCCCTAGGGTAACACTGAGTCAGTACTCCAACATGTCCCTAGGGTAACACTGAGTCAGTACTCCAACATGTCCCTAGGGTAACACTGAGTCAGTACTCCAACATGTCCCTAGGGTAACACTGAGTCAGTACTCCAACATGTCCCTAGGGTAACACTGAGTCACAGTATTACCATTCAATCCCTCCCTGTGACTATTCATTAACACAGGGGTACTGGGGCAACGGGCCAATTAGAATGCCTGAGGGATTTATACCCATGTTGCATTTTGAGTGTTCAGTGGCAAATGACAAATTGCAGCCCCTGTATAGAGCCAGTTCAGTTACGTTGAGTGGACCTGTCTACAGCTGCACATTATGACTGTTACTACTCTCATTTCCTTGACTGCACAGTTGAACATGGTTTTGAGGCCTTTGAAGTTCACGCTTTTGTCTGGATGAGAAATGCATTGCGAGAGCGAGTGAAAGAGTGTGTATATTTGTGTTTTAAACTCTCTTCCCTCTTCACACACGAGGTGCCCAGGGCGATGGCTGGCCAGACGAGGCTTGCATTCCCACCGACCTGCCGTTCACCCCAAGCGTCTCCACAGTGATCAGTCGCCATGCCAGCCACCTGGCGGCCAGCCCCGAAGAGGAGAGGGAGAGCAACGAGAAAAACGACTGCAAACAACAGCAGAAGAAGAAGAAGAAGAGGAGGCCCCGAGACGAGGTGTGTGACAGGGGCCAACCGGAGGCTCAGGCTGAGAACACACTCCTGTCAGAGGGCCACCACAGGGTCTCCCCCTGCAAGGACAGGGACAGGATGGAGGGGGGCTGGGAGCAGGAAGAGCCAGGGAGACGTGGAGGCAGGGGAAAGAGGGGCAAGAGCAGGAAGAAGCTTCCAGAAGAGTGGGGGTTTACCGCCGAGCTCCCTGAGGGGGTGTTAGACCAACTAGTGCCCCCCATCGCCCAGCCCCTGGAGAACCCCTACTCTAGCATAGGTAACATGGGGCTGATCCCTGCCAGTGAGGACTTCTACCCAGACGAGGGCCTCTTCCCTCCATCTCTCACCCAGGATCTGCTCTCTCTCATGGCCCCCACCTCCCCTCCACCGGCCATGGGCTGTGATGTCCTGCCCACCCTCCCCGTCTCCATGCCCACCAGTCAGGGAGACTTTTCACCCAAAGGCACCTTCCCCATGGCCCCGCATCCTGGAGACCCATTCACCGCCAGCTACCAAGACCTGCTCATGGATACAGAGACCGCCAGCCTGGGCAATAACAAAGAGGCCTTCTCCCCAACTTTTTCCCTAGATTCCCCAGTTCATAAGTCAGGGGTCAAAGTGATATTTGATCATGAGACCTCAATGCAGGATGTCCATATGAAAGATGCCATGAGTTTTAGCCCCACACACCAACCAGATTGTGGCCTATCACCATTGGAGAAGCCCAGTGAGCTCACAGCGACCGCACCCCCTTTCTCCCCCTCCGACAGCTCCTGGCTCATCCTCGACTCCCACTGCAACAACAACAACGACTCCTTTGAGTTCAGTGACATCACTCCAGGGCGCCCCCTACCTGTGGGCTTGGCCTTCGACACACCCAGCCCAGTCCCCCTCCACTCCCCCAAAACCATACCTGAATTCTACCCCAGCGGGGGCAAAGAGGCCAAATCCCCATCACAGAAGATACCCAAGAAGTCCCGCTCCTCTTCCTCCCCCTCTCTCACCAAAAGCCCCACCTCCCCAGGGTCCGGCCTGAACCCCGCCGCCAAGCCCTTCTTCCCCAGCTTCGCCGACCCCACGGAGCCCCTCACCGTGGTGGTGGCCCCCATGTCTGAAGGTTTGTTGCAGTGGCATGTGCTCTCCACTAGGGGAATTAGAGGAGTCGACCAATACCTTGCATGGGCATGTGGTTCTACGTCTGGGCTGGGACCGACCCAATAGCCCAGTCTAGACAGCCTGACTGACTAACACACGGGCTTTCCTGAAAAGATCTGTCCGAGGGGCGTGGTTTGGTTTTTTGGGGAGTTTCCTCTTACCCACAAGGCACTGCTGTGTCTGGGCAGTGCTGGAGTGTTCTCATTAACCCCGTGTGGTCCAGGGTGTGCTACTAACCACCACACACCTCACCACATGCAGTGTCACCAGTTTCACTGGCAATTTCTTTCATCACCAAACCTTTCACTCTCTCTCTCTGTCTTCCTTCCTGCTGCATCCAGGTGTCTCTTTTAACAGTCTAGTGTATTGGAGGTCCATGACTTCTTCATGTCTTCTTCTTCTCTCTATTGAATTAACATTGTTTTCCTCCTTGCTGTCTCTTCTTTAGCTAACATTTCTTCCAGAGAGGAGCCTCTAAACCGTTCTCTGTGGATGTTTTGTCCAATCCACTGCAATGCATGACCGCTCACTAACCAAAACATGTCTGAATGAATATACACTCAAATCGGATCACATGTTGATTGTCATTACCTACTTCTCTCGTTCCATGTCCTGCCGATTTGTGTGTCCCTTCTGCCTCCACAACGGCCGCCACAACAGGTGAGTCAGAAATCTTTATGTGCGTAGAATGTGGGAAATAGATTGTGTAATTTTTTAAAAATAGATTGTAGGAAAGTCTTGCGTTGCAATGCACCACAGTGACACAAACTCTGCGAGGCAGGGCTGAAAACAGGTGGCTTGAGGCTGAATCCAAGGATAAATCAATGTGATAAGTCTGTCAGGGGTTGCAGGTGCTGTCGCTGTGACTATGTCCAGGCCGGGCTAGATATATACTATATACAGCAGCAGGTGGGGGACACTAGGACAGGAAATTGGAATACAGAATAGTATTGAGAGAGAGATTGTTTTAGGTACAGATGCTGCTGGAAGTGGTGTTGCAGGGCCAGTAGGAGGCACTATTTCCTCTGGTCTAAAAAAAATATATCCCAATGCCCCAGTGGGGACATTGCCCTTTGTAGGGTGCCGTCTTTCGGATGGAACGTTAAACAGGTGTCCTGACTCTCTGTGGTCACTAAAGATCCTATGACACTTATCGCAAGAGTAGGGGTGTTAACCCCGGTGTCCTGGCTAAATTCCCAATCTGGCCCTCATACCATCATGACCACCTAATCATCCCCAGCTTCCAATTGGCTCATTAATCCCCCCTCTCCCCTGTAATTATTCCCCAGGTTGTTGCTGTAAATGAGAATGTGTTCTCAATCAATTTACCTGGTAATTTTTTTTTAAACAAATAATCCAGATGTTGGCTAGCATCCCCTGGGTCTCCCGGGGTGTTCTGTGTGCTCTCTCCGAGGGCTGGGAGGGCTGAGTGAAGGTTAGCCGAACCCCCCCCACAGAGTCGCCTACATAAGCTGCCATATTCAGACCCAGAGAGCTGAGAGGGGTGAGGACTAGTAATGCGTGGGTTGACTCCGCGGTGAGGGAGGGTTTAAGGTCATTCAATATTGTGTGGATGAAGGGGGGAGTGAATAAAGAGAAAACAATACCTTTAAAAAAATCCATCAATGTATCATTCTTGTGCAATTTATATCTATAGGCTACATTGAGGTTGTTCTTTCATTATTTCAGGCTGTCTGGCATTAGTGAGTAAGCCTGAGCTTAGGAGCCTGCTGTAGGCCTACACACGCCAAACAGCCTGTATGCCAATCGCCAAATGTCTTTGGGAATGGGCAGAAAAGTACTACGTCGATCCACAAGTTTATGTTGATCCACAGAGGCAAAAAGGACAATGTGGGAGTTTAATTGAATAAGAGAAAAGCTATGAAATGTAGAGTTGAAGATAAAGAGAAGGGAGGGCCAGAAAAGTCATGTTTGGGAAAGATTTGGTGAAGTGGTAAAAGAGGATTATGTGTGATGATTGTGAGGCGCTATAGAAATTCAACAGTCATAAGACGGGGACTTGAAATAGGCCTATGGCACGTCAAGGGAACTGTAGCCTACTGTGCAGATGGGTTAAATGAAATCTGAAATATGGACACTGACTGTAGATCAGTGGTGGGAAAAGTATCCAATTGTCATACTAAAAGTGAAAGTCACACAGTAAAATACTACTTGAGTAAAAGTGTAATACTTAAGTCTAATACTTAAGTGTCAAAAGTAAATGTAATTGCTAAAATATACTTAAGTATCAAAAGTAAAAGTATAAATAATTTCAAATTCCTTATATTAAGCAAACCAGACGGCACCATTTTCTTGTTTTTATTTATGGATAGCCAGGGGCACGCTCCAACACATAGACATAATTTACAAATGAAGCAATTGTGTTTAGCTAGTCTGTCAGATTAGAGGCACTAGGGATGACCGGGGATGTTCTCTTGATAAGTGCGTCAATTGGACCATTTTCCTGTCCTGCTAAGCATTCAAAATGTTATGAGTACTTTTGTGTGTCAGGGAAAATGTATGGAGGAAAAATACAGAATTTTCTTTAGAAATGTAGTGAAGTAAAAGTTGACAAAAATATAAATAGTAAAGTAAAGTACAGATACCCATAAAAACTACTTAAGTAGTACTTTAAAGTATGTTCTACTTAAGTACTATACAACACTGCTGTAGGTCTAAAACCTCTCACATAGCCTTAATATTAACTCTTGCAGAATTCTTGCAGTAAAATGATACGCTAAATTTTGACTCGAGGACAGACGTGGATAAATATGATTTATTTCTTTCAGCATCTTGATATAATGTGAATGCGCAGTTAGATACCATCTGTAGAGGTGCTATCTTTATCAGCACCATAAAAGCTGATAGTATTTCAATCACATAAAATATGTAAACAAGCCAAACTTAAATCTTATCAGAAACTGGACATTTTCACAGCTTTCTATTTGCTTATAACAGGTCATACTGATGTCATTCTGACATTTTGCACAGAAAATATTTCCAGTTAGTTTTGCTATTGCATTTTCTCCCAGGTCCCTAAACGTATTTTGCTCCGCGAAAGAAGCAGAGATGACAGAGAAAACTTAACTGATGTCAGCTACATTGAAGCATTCATTCTATCGATTTTAATATGACATTATTCTGGTGAGCAAGGCTTTATTTAGTCTTCTAGGTCAACATATAACAGAAGAGAAGCTGCATGTATCTAATTATAGACAAGTTGACTAACAAATAGCCTACCAACATGTCGGAAATTATAAGCAGAAACATATCTAAATCGTCAAAAAATATTTCCGCCGTCTCTGACTGTAGCCTACAGCGCATTTTCTATATTTGTGGATTAGGGTCGGGTGCAGGCCTCAGATTTTCACTTTATCACATATAGTTGGGCGGTTGCAGATGGGTTATTAGCAATTGCGGGTGGGTGCGGGTGAACAAACAGCTGACCCGCACACCACTAGTAAGTACCCTGTGCGCCCCCTCTAACCCCCCCCTCTACCCCTCCCTCCCAGGCAACTTGCCCAGAATGCACTGCAGTCAGAATAGTATCATACAATAAGGGACAGAACTTTCAGCACTCTTGACTCTCTCTGCAGTTTCACAATATTTCTTCCATGTACATAATGAAGATACCGGAAATGTGTTTAAACACCTCTCCCGTTCTAGTGCAATTGAGCCAGTAAACGAAAGGTTGCTGGCTCGAATCCCCGAGCTGACAAGGTAAAAATCTGTCGTTCTGCCCCTGAGCAAGGCAGCCCTCCGCACGTCTCTGATTCAGAGGTGTTGGGTTAAATGCGGAGGACACATTTCAGTTGAATGCGTTCAGTTGTACAACTGACGAGGTATCTCCTTTACCTGTCCATTCATCCAGTGGCGCCGACCGACATCAGACGAAGTACAAGACGCTCACAGGAGCAAGTGGTAAACAAACATTGCAGTCAGTTTTTTATCAATTTTTTATTCTAAGCGTAGTGAAATTTGCCATGTGTACAGTACATGCCCCTCAAGATACAGCTGCCACATTCACAGCCAATTAGATGCATAACTCACAACCAACCTTCACCATAAGATGCCTACTTCCCAAACGACACATTTATTTATTTGTATATTTTGGCCTCAGGGTTCCTCTGTAATGAAGAGTTATGACAGTCGCGACACCTCCGATTCGCTTTGGAGAAATTGTCCGCCGAGTAGCTTGTGAAATATTTATGTTTATGCGGGCGCCACGGTGAGCTGCCGGGTATATAAATAGATCGTTGACATGCGGCGTTAAAGCGAAGGCTCAGCGGGAACCGCTGGGATTTAATGAAGAAGCGGACGGGGAGATTTACCGTCACATCACGCATCGTGTCCTATCTGTCGCATCGTCAATGGGCTCGGTGCAGACAGAGATTCATTGTGATGAGACGTGAGCCCGTTATTGACCTGTGGAGATAGATAGGGCAACAATGGAGTGTGTAAACGGACTATTAAAATTTGTTTGATAAATGTCCCCAAAATAAAAAGTGCTTTATTTGGTCTGGCACCTTGAATCAGCCATCGCAGCCATCTACAAGGGTAACACAACATGGGGGGGGCGAAATAACAGACTTTTAAAAGTTGCGTTCTGTTCTTTGAGATGAATAGCTTGATTTGCGTTTGTGTGTTTTTGGGGGCAGACACAGCTGTCTCTGTTGCCCCTCTGTAATTTGTCCTCTTCGTCAGTGTGCCGGGGTGGAGCTGTGTCACTGAGGGTGCTATTTAGGACCTGTAGGAGACAGGGCCGCTGTGTCCCATCCCATCCCTCACCCAGCATGCTATTTCTCTGGGGATGAGCGGTGGGATGAGCCCAACAGCAGTCTGTGTGTGTCATATGTGTGTGTCATCAGTGCATGTCATCTGTGTGTGTCGTCCATAGAAATAAGAATGAATAGAACGGGCTTGGAAGCTCTAACCCTGGCAATTGACTGGTAAACTCATTGGTACACTCGCAATGGCTGCCTGGTATTATGATGCAATAATTTCCATGGTATTTTGGAATGTACTATCAACTGATGCTGAATTGCCATGGGAATGTAGAATGTTCA